GAGTGAGCCCCTTGGCTGTGAAAAATGAGTGTGCTAACAGTGCTCCTGAACTTCCTTTAGGCTTGTTTTTGAAATCTTTTAGGTGGCTTCTTGTGTAGCTTTGAATACACACTGAGGAGGCCAGGAAAATCAAGGGAAAGAGCTGGAGATTGCAATCGGGGACCTGTGGCCTAGTCTTGCTGTCCCTCTGATGAGCCATCTAACATGAGGAAGAATCACAGAATCATTCCAGGCTGTATTTTGTCTATCTGTGAGAGTCTTGACCAGCTTCCTTGTTCTAGGGCTCTGACAGGCCATCAGTCCCTGTCAGAGGGGATTTGCTGTAGGAAAAACATGATTGTTTTTAATATGAGTCCTTGACTGAGCACCAGCTACAGCTGTGAACATGGTCCTCCAGCCCCTGGCATGTTTGAGGATGCCTCTGCATCCTGCAGCAACATCTTCTAGGAAAGGAAGACATCTACTAAATCTTCTTTGAAAAATTCTTAGACCCAGGCCATCTTAATTTTCCCCCAAATCTTTTATATATTTAGCAAGAAAAAAGTTATTGATAATGATATGATGAATTTTTTATTAGAGTATATGCCTTAATTCTTTATCCCATTTATAATGTGGTGAGGTTTTATTTATGATCTTTATGTTAGCATTTATACTACACTGGGGTCCTATGCATAATCTGTATGTACTGTATATGTATGTGTTTCAAAAGGACTTGGAGCATGATTGACTGCTTTAAATTATCATAAAGGCTTATACTTTTGTCACTCCCTTTGTGAACATTCAGAAGAGACAGTGTTTCCCTGGGAAACTTCTTTCATTTTACAGCCTGACTGACTTGGGCGGGGGGCGAATGCTGGTTCTGGCGCAAATAGCTAAAAATTCTCAACAAATGAGTTAACCTTCCTATTCCTAGTTTCCTAATAATCCTGATCAGGTGTTTTGTTGTTGTTGTTGTTATTTTGTTTCATTTTACCAGCACCAGTGTTGTCTTCATAAAGCTGCTGTAAAAATTACATATGCTAATGCAGGAAAACTTGTTAGCAGAGTGTTTTGGTCACCTGGTGTCTCCTGAATGAATCCTATGTAGGTTTATTATTAAATACTGATACAAAATTAAGTTTTAGTACCACCAGGCATACACACTCCTATGGTGAAATCTTTCAATAGAATTTTTAACCTAAATGGACTGGGTTGCATTTGACACACACACAAGTTGCAGTTTACTTTAAGCAAAAGAAAAAAATGTATGTGTATTCTCAAGGTAGTACCAAGAAAAACAAAATGATCACATGTTCACTGGAACCTGGGAGAACCTTTTGTTTTGCCTCTTTAAGGTGTGGTAAGGATAGAAAATAGCATAGTGACCCAGGGTCACTGTGCTGCAGGGTGGCACAGAAAATAGAATAACGGCAAATACTTTATTTATATGTGAGACATTATTTTGTTGTGGTTGTGGATATATTGCAATTATTAGTGACATGATGAGTGTTTTTGACACTTAACCTTTTGGAAGGTTCTGCCCCCACTCTAACACTTCTCTTTCTGGGTTTTGTTTGTTTGTTTGTTTGCTTGAGATGGAGTTTTGCTCTTGTTGCTTAGGCTGGAGTGCATTGGTGCAATCTCGGCTCACTGCAGCCTCCAGGTACAAGCTATTCTCCTGTCTCAGCCTCCCAAGTAGCTAGGAGTACAGGTATGCACCACCACACCTGGATAATTTTTTTGTATTTAGTAGAGGCAGGGTTTCACCATGTTAGGCTGGTTGTGAACTTCCGACCTCAGGTGATCCACCCACCTTGGCCTCTCAAAGTGCTGTGATTACAGATGTATGCCACTGCACCCGACTCAGTCTAATATTTCTAAGTGTATCCAGAGGATTCAAAGCTTGATGGCAGTTTGCTTAGAGCCAGAAGGCTGAGGTGTCCTGGAGAACAAGTTTCCCTCATTTGCACGGCTCTAGGAAGGTCTGTGGATCTGTATTGAGTGAGATTGGATAACTAGGGTCTTGGTGCTGTGGATCTAGGGAATTAAAGCACACAGGTAAAACTGTTCACTCTAAGGGCTGCTGCTGAGCCAGGCTTACCTTATATCTGGTGTCCCTGGCCTGAGAGTGGGCAGAGCCAGTCTTAGGATGGCCTTTGTCTTCTGAACATTTTAGGAAAAGTTCACTCACTCTTGACTTACCAGGTATGGTACGTATTGTGTCTGGAACCACTGTCATGCATTGGGAAACAGGTGGATTTTATCTTGACCTTATGTGTCCTGTGTGCTTCCTTCTATCCATGCTCCTCTCAGCACACCCAGATTCATTCTTTTCTTATCAACCCAGCTCTCAGTTGATTCGTCCTCATTAACACAAAGTGTGGGCTCACTGGGACATCTGGCCTCCAGTTAGGACTTACCGACTTCAGCTGTAAGGATAATGCCACTTGTGATTTTAAAAATTAAATAGGAAGTAAGATAAATGAGAGCTAAAACTTGTGTAGTCATAACAACAGATTATGAAAGCATGATGATAAATCAAAATTTTAGTTTATGAGGATTAGCCATGTCCCTTTGTGTAACACTTTTATAAATTAATTTTAAGAATATAAAGAACTGGTAATTACCTATTAGAATAAATTGCAAGTGAATAGGATGCTTTAAAAATGAATAATTCATATAAATGGAATTTAAATTATAAATACAAGAAATTTTATTAGGAAGTATGGTTATACTTATTATTAAAATAAAAAGATAATAGAGCCGTTTGATACCCAAATTGCTGATCCTCCATCCATGTTATTACTGTTATAGAATGAGTAATAGAAGTAATGTAACTATTCAGGTAAAATATTTCCATTGACCAAATAGCAATATTTCTTTCTTATAGATCTAGACAAGTGACTGTAAGCACATATTTATAGTCTGTGTTGAAACCCTTTCTAAAGGAATTTTTGAAATACATTAACATTTGAAAAAATATACATATTAAAATATATTTCTGCTAAGTATTACATATTACTGTTTCTCTGTTCTTTAGCTCGGTTATAGCGCTCCTAATTTGAGTAATGAATTCATGATAAATAACATTTTACTTGTTAATATTTGTATCTCATTAATGGCCTTTTAAAATCACTGAAGTCATAGATGTCATATAAGAAGGCAAAAATATAGAATTATATGAGGAAGAAGGTAACAGATTCCCTTCTCTTTCTTTCAGTCCCTTTGCCAGGAATCACCATTGTTAATCCTTTTGTGTTTATCCTTCAACATCTCTAAGCTCATTTAGGTGTATAAATATCAATATATGTCCTCAGTTACTCCTTTACTAATTCTAACAAATGGGATTATATTGTACATGTTATTCATCAGCTTAATTTCACATCTGCCAGTATTCTCTGAACAGCTCTCTAGTTGCTAGAGTCTGGTACAATATATATATTTTATAAACATATATAACCCACATACAACATATATAACCCAATCTGATTAGTACCTGTTTATTCTTTTGTAATATGGATGGCCTAATTTATTTAGCCCCTCCTCTCTTGATGGATAGTCAGGTTTTGTTCATTAATAAAAAGGAATGTTTTAGTAAATATCTATAAATATATCTTGTATACAAATATTTCTCTTCCTATAAGTTTACAGTTTTAAGATAGAATTGCAGGGCCAAAGATACATGCATTTAAGACTTTAGGATGTGCTGTCAAGATTCCTTTCTACAAGGTTCTATCAAGCTATGCTCTACCAGCAAGGTGTCAGAATGTCAGTGTCCTCAAATGCTTTTGAGCATTAAATATTAATGATCTTTTAAAACTTTTAAAAATCAGTTTATTGGTTTTTAAATTGTATGTTACTGTTTTAATTCACATTTCATGTTTTCCGTGAAATATAAATTCACTATTTGTATTTGTTCCTCAGCAAACTGTCTATTTCTATCCTTAAGATCCTTTTCTAATCTTTTCCTTTTTCATTTGTAGGGATATTTTCTGTAATAGGGTTATTAACTATTTGTCATATGTTTTCAAAATGTTTTTCTTATTCTACCATTTGCTGTTGACTTTATTTGTGGTTTATTTTGTAATAGAGAAATCTTTAAATTGATCAATCATATCTTTTAGGGCTACCCATATTCATTAATATACAATAAAGGAATCATTGGAATATAAATCAGTTCAAACATTTATTAGTTTAGGTAGATGTGTAGATATGCAATTATGTTTGCTAAATGAACCATTGTTTCTTCCTAATGACTTCTTACTTTCTAGTCTTGTTTTAGAAGATATTTTTCTACATTTTTGTTGAATTTTTAGAAATTATTTTTATACTAAGGTATTTTAGCAGTGAGATTCTGGCCAAATAAAGGCTTGAGGGGAGGACTCCAGGGCTGAGGAGGCTGCTGGGGGCAGTTTCTTTCCACTTTAACGTTGTGTGAGGAGAATGGTCCATTCTTACCTTTGCCTGTTGCGTAATGTAGTGCCTGAGAATGTGGCAGGCAGCAGGTGACCACAGGAAAACCAGCTAAAAAGGCAGCTGCTATAAAAGCCGAGTAGACATACTGAGTCAAGTGCCCTCCACACCTCATTTTGGTTTGACCCATTTGTTTATTCATTTATAATTTAGTCAAATATTTTTGAGAATCTACTGAGAGGTATTCTCCTAGATTTTGAGGATATAGTTAGTAGGCAAAACTAACAAGTCACCTACCCTCCTGGACACAGCTTTCTAGTTTCTAAAGTTCTCCATTGGTGTGCAGTGCATGCACACATTTACATAAGCAAAGCTTACAGAGATTCACAGAGCAGTTGTAAAGAGGTGGTTCTAAAAGTCAACATAAATATTAGATCAGATAGGAGCATCACAAGTTAATTGTTTTAATCAGGATGTTTTGGGCTGCAAGTAATAGAAACACCCCTATATGCTAGCAATTAGGAAATTTATTAACTTGTATTAATGGGAAGTCCATAGGTAAGGCACCCTTTACAGTTTGTTGTTCAGTGACTCAGTAATCTTCCCAGGGACATGGGCTCTTTCCAAATCTCTGGTCTATTGGCCTCAACCCCAGGCTGGCTCTCTTTGTAGTGTTAAGGTGACATTTAAAAGAAACTAGGGAAACATCCTGTGTTCACATTTAATGTGGAGAGAAGAATATTTCCCCAGATATAGAATGTGACTTTTTTCTTTCAATCTTTTATGTCAATTAAGGACTGATAATAACTAGCAGATTTTCATGAATTCGTTGCCTTAGGGCACTTATTCTTCAACTTGAACGTACTTCAGTAATGACAGTGTACATCAGAGTCACCTGGAAGACTTGTGAAAAGATCCTGGCTGGTTCCTATACCAGATTTATGATTTAATAGGTTTAGGGTTGGATCAGGAATCCACATTTTTAACAAATTCCCCAGTGATGCTGATATTGCTGGTTGAAAACTACTGATTTGTACTAATGAAGATGCATCCTTGCCCCACACACCTATTAGAATGGCCAAAATCAGAACACTGCCACACATCGAATGCTGGGAGGATGTGGAGCAACAGGAACTCCCATTTGTTGCTGATGACAACATAAAAATAGGTACAGCCTCTTTTGGAAAAGTTGGTCTCAAACATACTCTTACTGTACAATCAGCAGTTATGTCCTTTGACATTTATCCAAAGGAATTGAAAACTTATGTCAACACAGAAACTTGCATACCAGTGTTAATAGCAGCTTTTTATTCATAATTTCTAAAACTTATAAGCAACCAAGAGGTCAGTAGGTGGCTAAACTATGGTGCATTGAGACCATAGAATATTTTTCATTTAAGAAGCTGTGAAGACACATAGAAGAAACTTAAATGTATATTAAGAAGTGAAAGATGACAATATGATAATGTACAGCTGTATGATTGCAACTACAGTAAGGTTCCACATAACAATCTTTCAGTCTATGGTAATCCCTTAAGATTATAATGGAGCTAAAAATCACCCAGTAACATTGTAGCCTTTGTAATTTCATAGCATAATGCTTTACCTTTTTTATGTTTAGATATGCAAATACTTGCATTGTGTTACAGTTGCCTACAGAATTCAGTACAGTAACATGGTGTATAAGTCTGTGGCCTAGGAGCAGTAGACTACAAAATATAGTCTCCGTGTGTAGTAAGCCATCCCATCTAGATTTGTCTAAGAGCACTCTGTGATGTTCATACAATGATGAAATCACCTAAAGATGTTTTTCTCAGAATGTATCTCTGCCATTAGGCAACCCATGACTATATATGACATTCTGGAAAAGGCTAAACTATGGATACAGTAAAAGTATCAGTGTTGGACAGAAGCTGGGAGAGGCAGGGATAAATAGGTAGATCACAGAGGACTTTTTCAGGTATCGAAATTATTCTGCATGATACTATAGTAGTGGATATATGCCATTATATAATTTCCAAAAACCCATAGAATATACCACACCAAGAGTGAATCCTGATATAAACTCTGGACTTTGTGTGATGCTGATTTGTCATTGGTGCAGTCTGTTGATAATGTGGGAGCCTTGGAGCCAGGGAAATGTGGGGAATCTTCATACCTTCCATGCAAGTTTGCTGTTAACCTAAAACTGTTTTAGAAGATAAAGTTTTATTTATAAAAAAAAAAAATAGCATCACCCTTGGGTCTAGGGATGGAATGAGCCATCCCTGAGCCACATGCTGTGGAAGACTAAATCACTGAGTAAAATCAAGGATTTGGGGAGCTGCTGGGAAGGAAGAGAGGAGAATGAATGCTGAGTAAGCAACTGACAGTGGCCAGTGTAAAGGTTGATATGAATTGAATATAATAATGGTAGTTGAATGACTACAGATAAAATGGGTAAGATTTATTTCTTATCTTGAGTAAATGTATTCGTTTGTTAAGTACTATCAGTCAGAATTGAGATCTGCAAAGAAACTTTTGAAAGAAAGCTTGATTTTAACATTTAAAAAAGCTTCATTTTAATATGAATATTAGAAGATTTGATTATGGGGATCAATTGGAAATCCATTCCTTGTACTTAGCATAGATCTCACCTTAGGTTCAGTTATAATAAGAAAAATTAATAATACTTGAAGTTTGTTTTGTTTTGTTTTGAGATGGAGTTTTGCTCTTTCTGCCCAGGCTGGAGTGCAATGGTGCGATCTCAGCTCACTGCAACCTCTGCCTCCTGGGATCAAGCAATTCTCCTGCCTTAGCCTCCTGAGTAGCTGGAATTACAGTCAGCTACCACTATGCCCAGCTAATTTTTGTATTTTTAATAGAGTTGGGATTTTGCCATGTTGCCAGGCTGGTCTTGAACTCCTGACCTCAGGGGATCTGCCTGCCTCGGCCTCCCAAAGTGCTGCGATTACAGGCATGAGCCTCTGCACCTGGCCACCTGAATTGTTTAGAGAATGTTGGCATGCACCTCACCATGGGTCCCTCATACATGTGCACACGTTGCAAGCAGAGGCACTGATGGTCTTTATTCTAGTCTAAGGAACAGCCTTGGAATATAGAGAGTATCTCTCTCTGGAGCATTGGGTGAGCTTTCTGGTTGTCCAGCATAAGAAAGATAATGTCTCTCTTGGGAGCAAAGCATAGACAGGTTTGCTTACTGCCCATAATAGAAGATTTGGTTTTCCTAACTCAGGGCTCTTTAGCTGTGATATAAACCGACTTCATGTGTAGCATCAACTTGGATTCCTCTGTGTTGCCCCTTGAGACTTTGGGGACAAGAGGAGCCAACAAGAACACAAAGCTCATGTATTTACTGTGTTATCAGTAGTATAGTCCTTTGTCTCTGGCCCAGGAGTCTCCTGTCTTCTGCCAGCATCCATGAAACTGTGGCAGGCAAACTTGTAGGCTTGAAACTTGATTACATCTCAGACTCCTCACAATTCTGGAGAGAATATATTTGAGATAAAAAATTCTTCATAATTTCCTCTAACTCTTAAATTTTGTTGACTGGGAAACTGAGGCTGGGATTAATAAAGTGACTTGTGCAGTTATGCAGTGTGTCTGTTTACAGAAGTGCTTGGCCAGTCCACTGCTACCAACCCCATCTGAGAACTGATGCCTGCCCCTCTCTGTGCACTTGCTTTTAGCCTCACTACAAAGCCAGCCTCTGTGAGTCTGCCCTATAGCTCTGGCTTAGGGTTGATTTAAGGATGGGATTGGACAGTAAGAATCTTTCACTTCAAGACAGAGCCAGAGAAAACTGACATGAACCGAGTGGAGTTTCTAGTCTTATATAACATACAGATATAAATTGACAGGGTTATTCAACACTGAGAGATATGTATCTGTCAGGGTCATTTAGCTGTAACTCTGAGAACTAGAATGGAAAACCAGCTGACCATCTCCACTGTTTTTCTATTTTGTTTGCTTGTTGCTGCAAAGTTTATTTTAAATTATAAAATGGGACTCTATTTGACCACTAAATGGACTCAATATGACCATGAAATATTATGCCTTGTGGCCCAGAGGCTATCTGGGTTTAGTGAGGTGGTCATATTAATTGTTTTGTCTGAAGGTAAGCTCTTGGCGAGCCTGTCATGCTAACTTATGAGGCGAACGTTGGTAACACTTTCTCTGTTACCTTAGTATATATCTTTTTTTTTAATAAAGAATTTCTTTGTAGTACTGTGAAATCATAACTCTTGTTCTATACTTTATCAATATTATATGTGGTCCTTATTCCATAATGATCAGTCTCAGCTTTAATTATTAAAAAGGTTTATATCATAATATTAAGGTTAGGATATTAAACATTATGAAGTGTCTGTGAGCATGTGACAGAGTGTTCTTTCATATAAATTCCAATACTGTTTTGTGATTTTTTTTTTTAAAGTCAGACATTTCTTTCCACCCTAAGAATTGCCTATAGTGACCTTTAAAAAACAGTGCTTCACCATGGAAGCTGACAGAACTGGGCTCTGGGCTCCCCACCTGTATTTTCACTGAGCCATAGGCCCATGGCAAAGAAAATTGAATGTTGCCTGGGTGACCTTATCTATAAGCTGGGTCTTTAATTTCATTGCTGGCTATATTGAAGCTATAGCTGTTGCCAAAGTGTCTGAAAACAAAAGGGAGGGCAGATAGATGATTTCTGCAGATGATCTGTGTGCAACCAACAGTGGAAATCACTGACCTGCCGTCGGAGAGTCCTTTGTTCTGGCCACCTTTGTCTGACCCTAAGTATACATAAAACATAGAAAAGTTCACTTCTAGGATAAATCCTAGAGTTTCTAAGATTGACTTCTAAAGGCATCAACAACATAGGTTTCTATGTATATAAAATCATTTGGGATTTGGGATGCGGGAATTACAATAGTTGGCAATTTGTAATTCTTACTGATACATTGGTTGGATACATTTGGAAACATTTTTAGAAACACAGATCTAAGCTAAACATCTCTTTTGGGCACATTATGAATCTAAGGTGTTTCATTTGAGACAAATGGTTACTGTGTTACATGACGTATTTATTAGTTCAAATGAAAAATACTTGTTTAAATTAAACCTCCTTTTCCCAAAGATAGTACAGAGCTCATAGTATGTATTTGCATTACATATTTTTTTCCAGGAGTTTATTCTGAGGAAATGACAACATTTTGAATATAATAGCAGAGATGAAATACGAAGTTGAAAAATGAGACTGGAAAAGCCCAGGCACTGGCATCTTGTGTTGTGCTAAGTGTTCCCTTGTCAGCTTGCAGAGTGCTGGCAGAAGCGTGGAGGGGACACAGGAGAAGGCTGGGATGGTGCTTGGAGGTTGGGGAACAGGCTGCACTGGCATTTCCAGTGAAGCAGCTTGGGACACGCTTCCTCTTTCTTCCTGAAAAGGACTGAGGGTAAGGGCCCACCCTGGCCCACACTGGGTTGATCCCTCCCAGGTGCCTGCATCTCTAGGGCTCTGTCCTTAGCCCAGCTCTCGCTCCTGCCTGCTGGCATGCTGTCTCCTGGATACCCCACATGGATTCCCTGGGCATCTCCAACTTCTCATCTCTATAGTGCAGCCAAGCATCTTACTCCTCCCCCTTGGCCTTGCCTTTCTTCCCAGCCCCGCAAAATATTTTGTTTTACCAGTGTCTCTTCCCTGAATAAATACTTCAAACTGCCCACTCATTTTGTCCTGAAACCTGAATTGCCCTTGACTTGTTTCACTGCCTCACCTCTGCACTAAATCAATTACTAAATCTCACGTATTCTCTTTCCTAGGTGTTTCGGTGTTTGGGAGGTTTCTCTGCAAAGCTGCTAGCCTAGCCTCAGCCACTACAGTGGCTCCCCATTGCACCCATATTCCCTCTGTTCCTCTCCAGATCTGCTCTACCCTTCAGCCAGAGATCTTTTAATTTAATATTATTTTTATTATTTTTAGAGACAGGTTCTTGCTCTGTCACCCAGGCTGGAGAGCAGTGATGTGATCGCAGCTCCCTCCAGCCTCAACCTCCTGGGCTCAAGTAATCCTTCCGCCTCAGTTCCCCCAGGTAGCTAGGACTACAGGCACACACCACCACACCTGAGTAATTTTTAAAATTTTGGTAGTGACTGCGTCTCACTATGTTGCCCAGGCTGGTCTCAAACTCCTGGGCTCAAACAGTCCTGCCACCTCTGCCTCTCAAAAGCACTGGGATCATGGGCTTGAGCCAGTATGTTCAGCCATCACAGGTCTTTTATAAATGCACATTTAGTCATACCATTTCTAAGCAAACAGACTCCCTAACACGCAGCTCCCTAATCCCCCTCCCCATCGCCTGCTCCCTGTTTCTCCATAATTCTTCTCATAGCCGGGCATACGAGATGCTGGGATTTCATGTGCTGATCTGCCTTCCTCCACTGGAGCATGAGCGGGCCTCTCAGGGCTTTTGTCTGGCTTGCTTGCTGTCCCTGAGTTGAGCCATTGAAGGCACTCCGGGAATGGAAATGAGTGGCTGGGGCATGTTCCCCTATTGTCTGGCTCTGGCCCCTCTCAATCAGTTCCCCTCATTTTTCCTGATTGCTTTCGCAGCTACAGCTTTAGCATTTTTATTTTCTTGAGATCAAGGTTCTCCTCCTGCTTAAGAAGCACCATGAAGGTTGAATCACACCTCCTCCCCCACCATCTGCCCATCTCTTCACTCTCTACTTAAATATCCCCTCCTCAGGGATGCTTTCCCTAAGCAGTCTCTGGATGATGAAGCTGTGCATTCCCTTATTATTTTTTAAACATCTAATATAACCGCTATATTGGAAGCCTCAAATTGTCAGTAACCATATCTGCCTTGTCTGCGAATGCACACACAATACCTAGCCTAGTGTAGGCTTTCAACAAATATTTTGGAGGCTGAGTCCATGTGATTCAGCCTAATCAGCAATGAATGGTCATTATTTTTTCCTTCTTGGAGCCATGTACATCAATTAAAGTGTGAGGTAGTCTCCTCTCTACCTCAGCCCCTATATTTTGCCCACCTAATTTTCCAGCTGAACCTCTCTGGCTCCCATACTTGCCCCAGGAGAATGATTGTGATGTGCCAGGACAAAGTACTGAAATATATATGAGTATTAAATATATGCAGTCATGCATCCTTAAACAATGGGGCTGAATTCTGAGAAATGCATCTTTAGGTGATTTGGTCATTGTGTGAACATCATAGAGTATTACTTACCCAATTGTACATAGCAGAGCCTGCTACACACCCAGGCTGTATGTGGTATAGCCAAGGCTTCTAGGCTGCAAACTTGTACAGCATGTTAGTGTACTGAATACCGTAGACTCTTGGAACACAATGGTAAGTATCTGTGTAGCTAAACATTGAAACATAGAAAAGGTACAGTAAAAACATGGCATCAAAGATAAAAATGGCACACCTGTACAGGATAGCTCCATGAATGGAGCTTGCAGGACTAGAAGTTGCTCTGGGTGTCAGGGAGCTAGTGGTGAGTGAATATGAAAGCCTAGGCCTAGGACATTACCATACACATTATTGTAGGCTTTACAAACACTGTACACTTAGGCTACACTAAATTTGTTTTTTAAAATTTGTGTCTTTAATAATAAATTAACGCTAGCTTACTTAAACTTTTGTACTTTTTTTTTTTTGAGATGGAGTTTTGCTCTTGTTACCCAGGCTGGAGTGCAATGGCGCAATCTTGGCTCACCGCAACCTCCGCCTCCTGGGTTCAGGCAATTCTCCTGCCTCAGCCTCCTGAGTAGCTGGGATTATAGGCACACGCCACCATGCCCAGCTAATTTTTTTGTATTTTTAGTAGAGACGGGGTTTCACCATGTTGACCAGGATGGTCTCGATCTCTTGACCTCGTGATCCACCCGCCTCGGTCTCCCAAAGTGCTGAGATTACAGGCGTGAGCCACCGCGCCCGGCCACTTTTCTACTTTATAAACATTTCAATTCATTTTTCATTATTTAACTCTTTTGTAACAGCACTTAGCTTAAAACACAAACACGTTGTACAACTGTACAAAAATATTTTTTATATTCTTATTCTATAAGTTTATACTTTTTCAACTTTTAAAACTTTTGTGATACCTAAGACACAAACACACACACTAGTCTAAGCCTACACTGGGTCAGGATCACTGATAGCACTGTCCACATCCTGTCCCACTGGAAGGTCTTCAGGGGGCAGTAACACTCATGGAGTTGCCATGTCCCAGAATAACAAGGCCTTCTACTGGATACCTACTGAAGGTCCTGAATGAGGCTGTTTCACAGTTAACTTTTTTTTTTTTTGGATAAGTAGAACAGATTGTAAAATAAGTATTAAAGGCCAGGTGCAGTGGCTCATACTTGCATTCCTAGCACTTTGGGAGGCCGAGGCTGGCAGATCACTTGTGGTCAAGAGTTTGAGAATAGCCTGAACCAACATGGAGAAACGCCATCTCTACTAAAAATACAAAATTAGCTGGGCATGGTGGCACATACCAGTGATCCCCAGGTACTCGGAAGGTTGAGGCAGGAGACTCTTGAACCCAGGAGGCAGAGGTTGTGGTGAGATTGCACCATTGCAGTCCAGCCCAGGCAACAAGAGTAAAACTCTGTCTCCTAAAAAAAAAAAAAAAAAAGGATTAAAAAGTATATTATAGTAAATCTGTAAACCAGTAACATAGTTGCCTATTATCATTAGCAAGTGTTATGTACTGTATATGATCTTATGTGCTAGTCTTTTATATGACTGGCAGTGCATATTTCTTTTTTTTTTTTTTTTTTTAATTTATTTTTTTTTTTTGGAGACGGAGTTTCCCTCCTGTTACCCAGGCTGGAGTGCAATGGTGCAGTCTCGGCTCACCGCAACCTCCGCCTCCTGGGTTCAGGCAATTCTCCTGCCTCAGCCTCCTGAGTAGCTGGGATTATAGGCATGCGCCACCATGCCCAGCTAATTTTTTGTATTTTTAGTAGAGACGGGGTTTCACCATGTTGACCAGGATGGTCTCGATCTCTTGACCTCGTGATCCACCCACCTTGGCCTCCCAAAGTGCTGGGATTACAGGCGTGAGCCACCGCTCCCGGCCCGCAGATTTCTTTACAGCACCATCACCACAAACACCTCACTGTGTGTTGTGCTATGATGTTAGGACAGCTTAGACGTCACTAGGCATCAGGAAGTTTTCAGCTCCAGTATACTCTGACCCATCAGAGTATGTGGTTTGTTGTTGATGGAAATGTTATGTGCTGTGTGATGGTAATCTTTCTCTGAGGGTTATTAAAAGTAAGGAGGCTTCTACAAGGCCTGTGAGGCCTCAAATTCATGACTCAGGGCCCTGACCAGGCCCTGTAGATAGTTCCTATTTGGCATTATCTGCATTTGCCATGATTCCGGCATTCCCTTTCTTATTTTCATGTCTCTTCAGTGCTGTTCACTTTCTCAGAAATGCCTTTTCCTCCTCTTTTCTTGCTTGTCAAACACACATACTTTCTTGGTATAAAGTAGGGATCCCCAACCCCCTGACCACAAACCAGGTACTGTCCATCTGCAGCCTGTTAAGAACCTGGCCACACAGCAGGAGGTGAACCCTGGGCAGGCAGGCATCACTGCCTGAGCTCCGCCTCCTGTCAGATCAGCAGAGGCATTTGATTTTCATAGGAGTGTAAACTCTATTATGAACTGTGCATACAAGAGATCCTTATGAGAATCTAATGCCTGATGACCTGAGGCGCAGGCTCCTTATGAGAATCTAATGCCTGATGACCTGAGGTGGAACAGTTTCATCCTGAAATTACACCCCAGACTGGTCAGTGGGAAAATTGTCCTCCACAACACCGGCCCCTGGTGCCAAAAAGCTTGTGGCCCGTTGGAATAAAGGAACAGGAACACCTGTCTTATTCATCAGACAGAGTCTGTGTCCTGCCTCTGTCCTGCCATAGCACTTTCAATATAGGCATTTGTCTCATAGGCTAGAACTATGCTTTTTCTCTCCAACTTTCTTATCAGTCTGTGTAAGACCTTAATCTTACCTTTTTTCTCTTGTGCATTAATGCCTGGCACACCCTAGGAGCCCAGAAAATATTTTAAACATTTAAGTAACTCCTCCTAGTTATGTCTCAATCAGAACTAGGAGCAGTTCTGCTTTCTACTTGCAATATATTTGCCTGTCTTCTTTGCCACTAACCTTCGTTGAGAAAATAATCTGTGAAAGGTCATTATCAAGTTATCTTAGCACTTATTTAATGTGTGTTTAACTGCTTTACTGTCACATAAAAACGTGCAGTAGTAAAATAAAGTAATAAAGCTGTCAATAAAAACCCCACTTCCACTCAATATTTAATGCTAAAGAGCCAGAGACATTTGAGATTTTCATCCATAATACTAAATTGATGTTATCAAGGTTGGTAGCTGATCAATTTGCCTTGAAATGCTGTTAACTTGATGAATGAAAATGTAAATTGTTAGAATATAGTGTGTTCTGGAAAACAGTGTGTTTCAGTACTGTTTCCGTACCAGCCTCCAAATAAGGTCAAGATAGGAAGCAGCCTCGTGCTATGAAGCACCTGGTGTTTCTAACAACCAAGGGCAATGATGACTGCTGATAAGCCACCGTACTCACTGAAGAGTCTAGAAAAATGTGACCACCTTCTTTAGAGCATCAGAGTTTATGAGGTAATGCCACGTCCATTTTTTTTCTTGTCTAATCCTCATAATGATTACAAGGGAGATGACAGTATCCTCATTTTCCAAATTGGGAAGCTTGGCTTCAAAGAGGTTAAGTGCTATTCAGAGGTCACACAAAGCTCAATACAATCCCAAATGTTTTCTGACTCCAAATCGGGTTCTTTCTACTATGATGTAGCTACTTCATTGCTAGGGAACTAAAAATTTCAAATCTATACAGATGTAGGAAATATTTAGAAAATCTACCTTTGCGATTAATAGTTTTAATGGTTTTTTTAATTTTCAAATTTTGTGGGTGTTTAGTATACACATGTGTATTTATAAATATATTTGTGTAAACAAGTGTAAAAAATATATACATATATATATATATATATATATATATATATATATATATTTGTCGGGGGTAAATGAGATGTTTTGATACAGGCATGTAATGCATAGTAACCACATCATAGACAATGGAGTTTCCTTCCCATCCCCTCAATCATTTATTCTTTGTATTACAAACAATCCTATTATATTATGTTAGTTATTTTAAAATGTACAATTCAATTATTATTGATGATAGTCACCCTCCTGTGCTATCAAATAGTAGGTCTTATTCATTCTTTCGTGATTAATATTTAAAGAGTAAACTTCAAGTAGTGTCCAGGGGATAGGTGGACTCTGGAATAGTTGTAGAGTTTGAGTGTACACAATCCCTGATGCAAATGAAAGTTATTTCAGAGTCAGTATACATTTCAAAAATCTCTAACCATTTGTCCCTGACAGTATAAAGCTTTCAGAATTCTGCAGAAAAGTAAACCTTTATTTCAGAATTATACTTTGAAGTTTGAAGATAAAAGGAGAGCTGTCTAAGTCCCAGTTCTCAAATAGATGGACTAAAAACATTTTAGAAAAATTCTGGAGAGCTTATCAGGATTTGAAATGAATGTGATAACAGGTCCCCTATAGTCAAGTCCTCAGTATGGCATAACAGGGTTAAAGCAGCTCAGCCCAGACTAACGCATACAAGAATCAAAGCCTTTTGCAGGTTTTGAAATGTGTTTCATTTTCTCAGGAAAGAGAAAAGCAGATTCCTTACTTTTATGTACCTGGTCACCTAGGAGTATTTTCTACTCTATGGTTCTGGTCCATTCTTAGAGCAATACAGAGAAACACAGGGGAACTTGTTCAAATCTGTGATTGCCAGCTGTTGCCTGGACAGTGTTTCCTATTGCCTCTTGGTGCCAGAATAAGCTGGCATTGTTTTGGTGGGGATTGGAAACCTGTGCCCTGACATGGAGAATAGTGCATGCACATCCCCAGCCAAGGCCAGTGAACGAAGGTGTCATGGCCTGTAAGAGGTTCAGCTGTAACACCTGGTGCTATAGTTACTCAACATCCGTATGCAAGAGAGGGGCTAAATTGTGAACTAAAATGGCCTAAATTTAGCAAACGTTTTAAAAATTGGAAAATGTCTTTATAGACAGTAATTTATAGTGGAGGTCTGAGTTGGACTGAATATGTGTTCCTCCCTGATTCCTTTGCTATAGTTGTAACCCCAGTATTTTAGATTGTGACCATAGTTGGATAGGGCCTTTAAGAGGCTAATTAACTTAAAATGTGATAATCCATTATGAATGGTGTCCTTGTAAGAAGAGGAGGTTAGGACACAGGAGAAGACCACGGGAGGATGCACCGTGAAGACAGTCGTCAGCAAGCCAAGGAGACAGATCTCAGAAGAAAGTAACTCTGCCAATGTCTTGATCTTGGACTTCGAGCCTCCAGAACTATAGAAAGTGTGCTTATTGTTTAGGCCACTCAGTCTAAGTTACTTTGTTAAGACATCCCTAGAAAATTTATTCAGCTGGTAACCCCAACATGGGGACTGTCCGTTAGACACAGCAATTTCAAGCTATAACTTGTCCTCCAAAAATCTGTCTTTAATTCTCTATTCCCCACAGTGAGTCTCTTGAGAAACAAGTGTAAAAGTTTATTTAACCCTTGTTCAGTTGTGTTTAAATATTATTTTATAAGGGTTGTTCTTATAGTTAGAGGAAAGTTGACTTAGTTATGATTATGTTAGTGGGTTGAAGCTGGCTAAGCCACAGTAAGGGAGCAAGTGGATAAATGTTTGTTATGTTTAATTATTCTTAATTTATTAATAACATAAGCTGTTGATTCAGAATACTTAACATATAATAGACATGAGAATCAGTGATTGGGAGAAGATTGGCCATGAATGTTTCTTGGCAGGCTTCCTGTCATTCCACTGGGTCCATAATCTGCGGCGAGCTGAGACAAACCTACAACAAACAGGTCTCAGTTATTCTCACAGGAATAGAGGATGGGGAACGGGGACCCCGGACTCCAGGGCACAGCTGAGACTGATGCTAAAATTAACCTGGGGGTGTTTTCATTTCTATTTTGTCTGGTTTAGAAAACTCATAAAATATAAGTAGATTTAATACACATTAAATCACATTATCTAATTTTTAAAACATTATTAAAGGCTAAAAACGTTTTCTCAGAGTATTATGATTCACTTTTGTTCACAGTCTTCATGGATTTATTTTGAAATTTTAAGTAAACAGAAACTTTTCATTCTTTATTGATGTCTTCATAAACAAATATGTATTTGAAAATGTAAATGATGGCAGGCACAGTGGCTCATTCCTGTAATTCCAGCACTTTGAAAGGTGGAGGCAGGAGGATCGCTTGAGCCCAGGAGTCCAAGACCTGGGTAACATAGTGAGACCCTGTGTCTACAAAAAAAAAAAATTACCCAGGTTTGATGGCATGCACCTGTCCTCCCAGTTACTCAAAAGGATCACTTGAGCCTGGGAGGTTGACGCTGCAGTGAACTCTGATCATGCCACTGCACTCCAGCCTGGGTGACAGAGCTAGGCTCTATCTCAAAAAAAAAAAAAAAAGGTAAATGATTTAGAAACGCTTTCAATGATCTGAAATTTTTGGTAAATAAACATAATCCTTTTATTAGTTTATGGTTTTAAAAGTAAGCCCTTTCTAGCTTTGATTAAAAGAAATGAAAAGGTCTTTAAAATTTTATATCATAATAAGGTATACATTAATATATTTATCGGTTTAACCATTGTAAATGTACAATTCAGTGTCATTAAATGCGTTCACGGTATTGTGTAACCGTCACCACTATCTGCACCCAAAACATTGGTATCATCCCTTACTAAAGCCCTGTGCAATTAAATGACAACCTCCACCTCTCCCCTCCACCTAGTCCCTGACAACTTTTGTTCTGCTTTCTTTCTCTGTGAATTTGCATATTCCAGGTATCTCATACAAGTGGAATCATACCATGGTTTTCTATATGTTTCTGACTTACTTCACCAAGCGTGATATTTTCAAGATCGATTCATATTGGTGGCATATATTAAAATTTCCTTGCTTTTGGTGGCTGAGTTATATTATATTGGTTGGATATACCACTTTTTGTTTATTCTTTCACCTGTTGTTGGGCATTTTGGCTGCTTCCACCTTTCTGTTATTTTGAATAATTTTATGAACATTCATGTACAATATCTGTTTGATTTCTAAGGGCTTTCGATACAAATTAGATTTAGGCCCCAGAAAATGTCAGATTGGAGATCAAGTTCACTGTAAGAGTGGGGAAAACCATCTACAGAGCAAATAACTATTGCTAAGATTAGAAAATATAGTACCTTTAGGTACATATTGACTATTATTATTAATATATATAGTCAATTAATACTGGTTGGTCATAGATAAGTTGAAAGTTCATTGTCTGTTTGTTTTGTGGTTATTAAGTTTGCCTTAATTACCACTGACACAAGCCTGAGAGGGCAGCAGTGTTGATGGGTGTGGCTAACTTTTCCTGATTTCCTAATTGCAAGCAAAGTAACAGGAAAAATTAAATGACTTCTGGTAACTGGCATTACTGTACCAAGCCATGGCAGTATGTCGGCGGCTTGTGGGTTCTGCTGAAATTTGTACTCACCTTGCTTTCATATTGCCATTATTGGCCCCAAACCACTCTTGGTTCATCTTAACATAGTGCTTTATTTACAGTGCATGTTAATGTTTATTTCTTAACACGAATTAAAATTTAGCCATGACTCCTTGAGCAGGACATGTAGCATAATAAGAAGGACTTCTGTATCTCCTTACTCACTATGCATATGGGATTTCTTCACTTCATCCTGCTAGATAACATCCTGTCCCCTTATTGACTTCAGTTTTCCTAGCCTAGCCACTCAATTCTTCTTGGTTAACATCTTTTTTTTTAACTTTTGAATAACAGTTTTAATGTTGAATTCATTTACTTCCACACACTTTCTATAAGTTTCCAGAGTAGGAAAACCATTCTTATATTATTCGCTGGCCATCATCTGTTCTCATACTCCTCACTTCACCTCTCATGGGCCTCACCTTTGTTGTCTTCTTTTGTGAAGCTCTTCAAAGCTTTCTCTTTTCTCAGGATAATGTTTTCTCTTTACATTTTCTTTCTTTTTTTATTTTTTATTGTTTTTTGAGACAGAGTCTCTCTCTGTTGCTCAGGCTGGAGTGTAGTGGCACTATCTCAGCTCACTGCAACCTCTGCCTCCCAAGTTCAAGTGATTCTTGTGCCTTAGCTTCCTGAGTAGCTGGGATTACAGGCGTGCACCATCATGCCTGGCTAATTTTTGTATTTTTAGTAGAGACAGAGTTTCACCATGTTGTCTAGGCTGGTCTTGAACTCCTGGCCTCATGCGATTCACCCGCCTAGGCCTCCTAAAGTGCTGGGATTACAGATGTGAGCCACCACACCCTGGCCACTCCTGATATTTTCTGATCATTTACTCTTTGCATCTATTCTAACACTAACTGTCATGTAAAATGCACCAATGCCTTTGCATTTTTGCGGTGTGAAGAATCATATTCTGAGGTTTGATTCTCCTGATCCTTCATTGTAGCTAGTTTATTTTAGATTATATTCTTTTAATCAGAAGAGACTATGTTGACTTACTTTGGATAATGTCACATATAGATTGCTGTATAGTAAATGGTTTCAATGATAGTATTTTTGAGTGATAACTACTTACAAGTATTAACAAGAAGAATATAAAAATTATTCAGTATTCAGCCAAAATATTGTAGGGTTAAAAGTTTCACCTGGGTTATTTTTATGATTCAGGAGTTCTTCCCAAAAGGAGGACAGTGCTGATTTGCACTGATTTATGAAGATGATTTTCTTAGTCTTCCACCCTTAAGGCTTAAACAGAGGAGGTTTACATGTAAACAGTCTACACTGATCACCAAGACAGAGAAGTGTCTTCTCCCTTCTTGCTGCCCTTTTTTTCTTTTTCTTTTTTTTTGAGACAGAGTCTTGCTCTATCACCCAGGCTGGAGTGCTGTGGCATGATCTCAGCTCACTGCAACCTCTGTCTCCCAGGTTCAAGCGATTCTCCTGCCTCAGCCTCCCGAGTAGCTGGGACCACAGGCGCATGCCACCACGCCTGGCTAATTGTTTATATTTTTAGTACAGACCAGATTTCACTGTGTTAGTCGGGATGGTCTCAATCTCCTGACCTCATGATCCACTCACCTCTGTCTCCCAAAGTGCTGGGATTACAGTTGTGAGCCACTGCCCCCAGCCTTATGCCCCCTTTTTAAAAGTTGTTTTTTTTCCTTCAAGGATAGACTCTTTGTTAATGTTAGCTAAGTTCTCTGTGTATAAATGATGGTGGGGCCTGGGGACGGGGCATGGGTGGATTGCAGGAAGCTTGTCTCAATGTGCCAGGTTTTGCAGGCAACAGGGTGTAGTAATGGTTTCTTATATGAATGATTGCTATAGCTAATGTAGGCCTTGTGAAAATGATTCAGATTAAGCTTCTGGTTTTCTGTAAGCCTACTGACCCAGGATAATTGAGTGGAATTAGTGAATTTGTATTCTTACAGTTAATAGCAATATATTCTTGAGAATGTTGAAACCATGAATGAGGTCCTTAATTGGCTTTTCTGCATCTTCTGTGACCTCAAGAAGGATTTCATGAGAGCACTGGGGAAACTTTAAAAAAATACTCTTTACAAACACTTCACAACTCACTCACTGTTAAACATGATTTATGCTGATAACTGTGCTAAAGTGAGAAGTAATACAAAATAGGTGATGTAGTAGTTGTTTTACTCAAGGGGCACCTTGCCTTCAACCAGTAGAGGATTGTGGTGACCTTACCAGTAATGTCAATGGAATTACTATTAATTGTGACTGAAAAAAATGGCTTATGACTAGAAAGAAAAGAAGGGAGGGAGAAAAGGAAAGCTGTAAGAAGGAAGGAATGGAGGGAGATGAGGTGGCAAAGAACAGAGGCAAATCTAAGGCAATCCTCAGAAGTAGTAGAGTAAAACAGAAATATTGGCTTGCAAGGCGGTAGCACATAATAGAATCTCAGGGTCTAATTTCATTAACATCCTTGCAGCAAATAATCTTTCTGAAAGAAAGGAACCAGCTACACCAAGGAGATTTGTATTTTTAGTAGCAACCAAATCTAGCAACTTTGTGAACATCTTTGCTTTGGTTTTGTTTTAAACTAATAAAATCTTGGCTGCCTCACCCAGGAGAGCTTGTTCTCATTAGTAACTGACACAAAGGGTTTTGCTGATTGTCAACATGGTTTGTGATTCCCAGGAAAAGATGATCAGTGAATGTTATAAAGGCCCATAGGTTATGAGATGTGAGTACGAAGCCCAAAACTTATGGAAATTATGTAGGAAAGAACCCA